TTAATGTGGGTTCCTTATCTATGAAGTGATAAGAATATTATGACCCTAGCACTGTTATGATAACAGATTAGCAAGGTGTGTAACATGGGGGAGAAGTGGACCATTTAGCAGCAGGGATTGTAGTAGACATTTTTTCTTATCTTTGCATTCTACTTCAGGTATAGGTCCAAATAACTTCTGCCTCAATTAATAACTTAAGCCTTCCTCTGCAGCTTGAAAATTTTCTTTTCCCCAAGTAATTTCATGCTTGGTTAGAGCTCTAGTAAAATAGAGTTTGAGCTACACACATAGAGTGTCTCCACAAGCTGCCCAAACCTGACCTGAAGTTCAGTTAACCCTTATGTGGTCATGCTGTGGGCCACCTCACCAGCTCACCAGCACCAGGGTTCTGATGCAGAAGGGAGGGTTCTTCCCAGGATGGAAACTGTCTTTGTGCAAGCTGTCCAGTGGTAGAAGCTCTGGCCCTATTTTAAAGATTAATGGCATTTCTTGGCAACTGGTAGGAAATGTAAACTTCTTTGCTACCCAAGGATTAAGTCTTAGACTAGAAACAAACCCAGCTGTGAGGTTATCTCCCAAAGAACATTTAGGCTATTTCCCAAGAGTGCCTGTGCTCCAACGTTTTCTTGTTGGTAAAATTATATCTCATCCAGCCTACACACAGAGCTGTGCCGTGTTCTCTGTCTCTCTGTTCATGAGTGAACATGCACACAGGCTTGTGTGAAAAAGACTCGCAGTGTCTCACAAAAGCCATGTACAGAACTGATAAGCAGATCAAAGAAGAGTGAGGAACCAAAGAACATTCTAGAGAACCAGTGTTGAATCCCCTAGTGTCTAGAAGCCATAATGTAATCCATGATCACTTGCCATTTCCTGCCTCAGACCAGACATGATCCAAATAGAAGGAAACATTGAGAAAAATTGGGTTGAGTTCTGGGGATTGAACCCAAGGCCTTGCTTATAGTAGGCAAGCACATTTATCACTCAGTTACATACATCCACAGGCCTTTTTCATTTATTTATTTATTTATTTACATATTTAAATTTTGAAGCAGTGTCTCACTAAGTTGTCCAGGCTGACCTTGAATTTGTTATATAGCTCAGGCTGACCCTGAACTTGATTATCCTCTTGCCTCAGCTTCTCAAGTAACTGCTGGAATTATAGGTGTGTGCTATCACACTTGGCTAGAAAAATTAATAAGCTAATGAGGACCTTGCTTGTCAGTTTAATGGTAGTATTAATAATGAAGCGAAGCTTTATTGGGTTGAGGTTAACTGGTAATATTAGTAGTTATTACAGAATATCTATTCTTTGCAGGCAGCAAACAGGACCTTCTGAAAGGATGGATTATGTCTCCTCAGCATTCACTATTTCTTTTTTATTTTATTTGTCTTTTTGAGACAGGGTCTTCCTGTAGCCCCAGCTGCCCTGGAACTCACTATGTAGACCAGGCTGGCCTCAAACTCAAGAGATCTGCCTGCTTCTGCCAAGTGCTGGTATCAAAGGTGTGTACCACCATGCTCAGCTGCATTCACTAGTTCTTAAAAGATGCAATTCTGAACATTAAAAAAAAATTACTTTTTCCAGGGATCCCCATTTGAGGCTGGAGTCCAGTCTCTGTGTCTTTAAAGAAGCCCTTAGAGGGAACTCTGTCAGTTGTTCAAGGCTTGCTGCCAACAAACAATTGAGGTATTTACCAAAGGTTTCCAAGAAATTGCAGCAAATTATACAAAATGTTATACCTGTAACAGGCAGTCAATGTATTAGCAGCAGAAAAAAATGTGAGTGGGAACAAAGTTTCAATTTGTGAGAAAATGTAATGTAGGTAGGGATGAATTTTAATTATGTGTCATAAAGAATTACACTCATGCAAACAGAAGTAGGTGATATGGCGTTTTTAGATAATTTCTAAATATCAGTCTGGAACCACTATTGAAGAGCCTTTCACATGATTCAGTGAAAAGAGCCACACAGAAACAAGGAGATTGTCAGATCCAGATCCTGAGACTTCAAACTTGGCCAAATGAGACTCAGTGATACAGAACTCAGATCCCATCCCAGGCTGAATATGGATCCAGCATGGGCCACTTCTCAGGTGGGATGTGTGTTTCCAAAAGACTACAAGAGACTGGGATGGTGAAATGACTCAGTGGGTAAATGTACTTGCCACCAACTGATGATCTGAGTTTCATCCTCGGGGCCCATATGGTGGAAGGAAGGGACTACTGAAAGTTGTCCTCTGACCTCCGCATGTGTGCATACCTACATGCGAAATAGATGTAATCATTTTTTTTTAAGTCTACAAAGAACAAGTTTATAAAAGTTCATAGTTTCTCTGTTGAGCAGTCAGAGGGGCGGGCGAGGCTGTTGACTTAGAAACTGAGGGACTTCTAGGAAGCAGGGAACTAGGAACAAAATGTTCAGCATTCTCAGCATATTTCCACCACACATTTCTGTACTTTTCACTAGATCTTAGTTTAAAAGAGAAAATACAGGCATGGCTAAGGCAGGATAGAAGACAGATGCTGACATCATGTCACATAGTTGAACATTTGTGTCCTGTCATATTTGTGCTTTATGGTAAAACATTGTGAATTATGGGGCAGCTGCTGAATTTGGGGGCGACTCCTTGGCATTTGTGGTTTGTCTTACCAGAACCTTTCTCGATGGTTTTCCCAGCCTGTAATTCATGGTTCTCTGTTCTGCATTTTCCCAAAGACCACTAAAGTAATCCTGTATTCACTGCATAATGAGCATTTTATTTTTAGATGTGGATCACCTCTTATAGAGGGAGTCTGGGGAGGTGGTAATGAACTATTTCTGAAATAAATCATAAGGGTCAAAGAAAGTGTACTATCCAAAGAATAAATAAGAGTGATGATCATTCAGTTGTAGAGAGGCATCTGCAACTCCCACAGCCTTATATTTTAAACTGGAATATTTCAGTCATTTGATCTATTAATAATGAAAGATTTTTTTAATTGCCCCAAACATACTTGTTTTGTGTTTTAATCCCTGAGCTCATCTTATTAAATGAGAACCTCTCAGGGACTGGGGATATAGTTTCCTGAGTTCTGGCCTAGCATACCACAGGCCCTGAGTTTGGTACTCAACATTCCCTAAACAAGGGTAGTGGCACACAGGGGTTGTGACTGTAATCCCAGTCACTAGAGGAAAAAGCCACAGAATCAGGAGTCCAAGTTCATCCTCAGCCTCAGCCAGCCAAGATCTCAAAGGACCTCTCAGGCCCAGGTGGCTACTTTACTGTAATAACCCTAAAATATTGGCGACTAAGAAACAAGATTTACAAACCTTTCTTGTGTGGCTACTGTCTTGTCTTCTGTTGCCTTGGCTGCATTTTTTGTAAATGAAATTTATAAAATTTAAAACATCAAGCTTAGAGGGAACTGGTACCCAACTTAAAAAATCCAGGGCTCTCAGCCAGCTTAGCCTTCCACCACCTCCAGGCCAGTGAGAGACCCTGTCTCAAAAACCATGGGGGATGGTTCCTGAGATCTGACAGGCCAAGGTGACCTGCGCACGCACACACACACACACACACACACACACACACACACACACACACACTATATTATTTACAAATCTAGTCTTAAAAATATTGGTGAATGGGCTGGAGAGAAGGCTCAGCAGCTTAAGAGCACTTCATGCTCTTACAGAGAAACAGGGTTTGGTTCCCAGCTCCCATATGGCAGCTAACAATCGTCCATAATCTCAGTTCCAGCGTCCTTGGACACTGCATGCACAGATGCACTTTCAGGCAGGCAACACACTAAAATAAATTTAAAAATTAAAAAAACTGACAGTGACTCAGGGCAGGGTTACTACCGAGCTGTCTCCATAGACTAAACCCAAATCATTCAGCATTAACATCACCAACCATCTCGTCAACAGCCAGTAAAAGCTAGTATTTTGTGGGGAGCCTGACTTGAAGTTTAGTTTAGCGACAAGAGAGCAAGCTAACGGAATTCATGGTTCATTGCACGCCCGCCTAGCGGGACGGCCCAAAGTGAACTGTGGATCCTATAGGTAGCGGCTCTAGGCCGCAGGACGGCGGGAACAAGGGTACAGTGTGGCCAGGGCCAGGGAGCCGGGACGTCGGCCTGGCTGACGGGAAGGGCGTGGCGGTGGCGGCACAGACCCCGGGACGGTCGAGGCGGGAGGAACGTGTGGCTCGTGGGGAGTCTGGGGACCGAGAACCCCTCTGAGAAGCTCTCTCGGACTGCACGGCAGCGACGTCCACGTGTGGCGCGGGGCAGGCAAGGCGCCGTCGGGGCGCGGCCCTCGCGCGACTGCGCGCGCGAGCGACAGCGTAGGGCGCGGATAATGTGCAGCGGGGCGGTGTCCAGCACGCCCACTGCACAGCGGGGCCGCAGACCACCGGGAGGGCACTTTCTTTTTTTTTCCGGTCAAACTTTAGCCACGTGAACCGCCCCCCATTCACTTTTGCGCCAATCGCGTGGCGCGGACGGATCCCGAGAGGGGCCACTGCGCGCCGTCGCCGGGCCGATTCATAACGCGCTGTGCGTGACGTGAGGGGCTCCGGCTGCAATGGCGAGCTAAGCCGGAGGATGTGCAGCTGCAGTGGCGGCGCCGGGCACGAAGAGGACAGGCGCGGGCGCAGCGCGAGCCGAGTGGAGCCAGCTGGGACACGCGAGCCGGGCGGGACAGGGTCCCGGTCGTCGCTGCGGACGCCGTCGCGCTGGCCTTGCGCCCCCACGCGCGAGCAGGAGGAGCCGCCGCCGCCTCATACCCGAGCCGCCGCCGGCGCGCGCCGGGCATGGTCCCTTCTTAAAGGCGCAGGCCGC